AAAATAGACGGGGGACAATGGGAGTCACTGGCACCTCGGCCCGGCCTGGACCTTGTGGTCTGTGGGTACATTGATGACACCCCTAAGTTTGTGTGGTTATGGCTGACCTGATATCTAGTTCACCTTCTCTCTTCTATTCCTTCCTTTAGGGTGGCTAGTCCTTCCCACACTCAGATCACACGGCTCAGGAGGGGCTTGATCCTACCTTCTGGCCACCTCAGGTCTGGGGCACTGACTCAAATCTAGCCTGTGAGCGTGCTTTAGCGCCCTGGGCAAGGTGGCTACAAGTCTAGAAAGTTGGCACCCACAGTGCCCGCTGGAAATTAAACAGGGAGACAATGTGCTATAGCACCAGGCTTGGCATCTGGCTGGACAGGTCAGTGATCTGACCCGATGTCCCTTTCCAAGTTATTAAGCCAGTTGGGGTTAGTCTGACTGATGCCCCTGACCCAGCTCACCCTCACTACCTCCCATTATATCCCTGGACACCGTGCCCCCTCAGCTCCCTGAGTCTGTCTGTACACTCTCACCTCTGGGATGTCATATTTCCTCTTCCCACTGTCTAGAACCCCTTTTAACAGCTCATTTGCCTGGCAAACTCCTACCTGGGCACTCCTCTCAGTTCCGCTACTGCCTCATTCTGAAAACCTTCCCTGACTCCCCCCAGACACAAGTCACTCCCACCTCCCACATATACACACACACCACAGCCAGGAAGTTTCCTTGGAAAATCTTTACGAAGTGGGTTTCAAAAAGTCCGTGGAAAAACAGAATGAAAAGAAGATGGAATTTTCTCACAAACCTACTAAAGTTCCCTTCATACTCTCCAGTCTTAAAAAGGTCCCTGCATGGTGCAAGTGGCTTGTTCTTGGCTACTAACCTAAAAGCAGATAGTTCGAACCCACCCAGCAGCACTGCAGAAAAAATGCCTGGAGATTGGCTTCTGAGAAGACGGTAAGTTAAGAAACCCCTGCAGAGCTCTTCTACTCTGTAATACAGGCGTCACCATGAGACGGAATGAACTTGACAGCAATCTGTGCCTTATTTTGTTCTGTTTAACCAGACTAAATGCATTTGTTGTTTTATTTTCTGTCGTTGCATTACGACAATAGGGATTTCCTTCAATCTCCAAATACAAAATGATGCTTTAACAGTTGATGTAAAATTTCAATCAATGCCTCCACATCTCCCAGACATTCTGAAGCACTCCCCTGGGGGTGGGAGGTGGGGGATGTCTTCTCTACCCTGGATTGAAAAATACAACGAAACATTCCTCATTGGCTCAATAAACCTCTCGGCAGAGGACCAAGTGCTGGACTACACAATTACATTATAACCATCCCTTTGTCTGTACAAGGTAGAAAATGGAGAGAGAGATTCAGCTAAACTGTTTAACAGGCATTCTCTTGGGGAGGTGGTATTAGAAGGTCCGAAGTGGGGACAAGCCAGCCCTTCAGACTTTATATAAGGAGCTTTCAAAAAGTTTGAGGAAAAATTCCATGATTTTTCCATTCCATTTTTCCATGAATGTTTCAAAGCTTTTTATTATGAGTTGGGTGAAGGTTGACAGAGCAGATCATCAGTTTTGCATCTAACAATTTGCACACATTTTGTTTCATCTATTGACTCCAATCCTTCAGTATAACTTCCCACTTCCTCCGTGTGTTTCCTGTTTCCATTCCTCCTCCTTTCCTAACCCTCCTGAACTTTGTCCTCGGGTAAATGCTGCCCATTTGATCTCCACTGGTTGCCTATTCTAAGGTGTGTTATTGTTAACTAGTGTTAGTGTTCCTCTTTATAAACGTGTGTATTGTTTGGCTGAAAACTGAGTCACAGTGGAGAGTTATTTCCAGACCTGAAGGGTGACCAAGAGCCATAGTCTCAGGGGTTCCATTTGTCTTTATCTAACTAGTAAGCCTGGTCTTTTTAATAATTTTGAGTTTTGTTCCACATTTTTTCTCACTCTATCCAGGACCTTCTAATTGATCCCTTTCAGAGCCGTTGGTAATGGTAGCCGGGCACCATCTAGTTCTTCTGGTCTCAGGACCATGGAGAGCGATGTTCGCATGGTCCATTAGTCCATTGGATTCATTGTTTCCATATATGTTCTTTGATATTCTTTCCTCCAGACAAAGAGGGACCAATAGCTAGTTGTACGTTAGATGGCCACTCATGCGCTTTCAAGATTCTAGACACTATTCACCCAAGTAGGATGTAGAACATTGTCTTTGTGGACTCTTGTTGTTGTTAGGTGCCATTGAGTTGGCACCGACTCATAGCAACCCTATGCACAACAAAACGAAACACTGCCCGGTCCTCAGTTAACCTCCCAGTTGTTGCCACACTCGAGCCCATTAATGCTGCCACTTTGCCAATCCATCTTGCTGGGGGTCTTCCTCTTTTTCTCTGTCCCTCCTGACAATATGTCCGAAGTATCAGAGATGAAGTTTGGCCATCCTGGCCTCCAAGGCGTACTCTGGCTGCACTTCTTCCAACATAGATCTGTTTGGTTTTTTTGGCGGCCCACGGCACTTTCTATATTCTTCTCCAACTTTGTGGACTATGTTATGCCAATTGACCTTGGTGCCCCCTGACACTATGGTCCTGAGCCCCCAGGTCCCGGAGGCTTGTTCCTTCAAAGTTACTGGTTCTGTCTAAAAAGTTTTCACAGCTTTGCTCCCTGTATATTTCTCCACATTCATGGATATATTTGCAGCATGCACAGATGCCCTCTGTCCAGCCTATATACACCTGTGAGTAGACACCTACTCTCCTTCCCACACCTATCCAACCTGAATCTTGCCTTCTCTTTCCATGAACTTCTTGAAGCCCCTTAGTATAATTTTGAAGCGAATTTTGTGGGACTTTATGGGTGCTTCTTGCTGTTTTTCATAGGTTTCTTAGTATTTTTCAAGGAAATGCACTGATGTCTGTTTCACTACAAGACTAGGTAGCAAATTCCTCAGAGGCAGGAAGGGTCAGGCACCTGGAGACTCACAAAGTGTTTGTGGGAAGAACTGAGTGAAGACGCACAAGAATGGAATGTCAAGACAGACAGCCAGGGGTCGGGGAAGGCTGTGACTGTGGGCACAGGAAGGAGGTCCCCTCTGCAGCCTGAGCTCAGCATGGTGTTGGCATGCAGTGACTCAGCCTGGTAGAACAGCTCCCTCTGTTTGTGCTGAGGATGGAGCTGGGGAGGGGAGGAGCAAGGAGAAAGGGCTTCACAGTAAGAAAATTCCAAAGATCTGGAGAATCAGGGTGGGTGGAGCAGCAGATGGAAGGAATCAAGTTTGTGCAGCAACAGGTTAAGCATTGGCCTACTAACCGAAAGGTTGATGGTTCAAACCCACCAGCCACTCCTCAGGAGAAAGATGAGGCTGTCTGTTCTCGTAAAGATATTTAGTCTCAGAAACCCTATAGAGCAGTTCTACTCTGTCTATACTGTTGCTATGAGTCAGAATTGACTCGACAGCAGTGTGTTTTTTCTTTATTATCGTGGGGCAGTGGAGACAGTGGCAGGAAGTTCTAAGGAGACAACTATCAACTCCATGTTGAGGAAAGACCCAAACGGGAAGCACAGGTCACTAATGGAATAGCTGTCCTCTTGAGGGGGCACCCTGGCAAAGAGTCTCTCAGGGGGCTGGACAGCATCGCCCACCGGGGCTTCCATCGGGGTGGACAAGGGAGAAGGTCTGTGGGAAATTCAGGGCTGAGGAACTACAATAGTTTCTCAGGCTCTGGTGGTGCTGTGGATTGGGCACTGGGCTGATAACTGCAAGGTTGGCAGTTCAAACCCACCAGCTGTTTCAAGGGGAAAAGATGAGTCTGTTTGCTTCCCTAATGATCAGTTCTACTCTGTCCTGTAGAGTCACTACGAGTCAGGACTGACGCGAGGGCAATGGGTTTGGTTTGGTTTTTCACTGGTTTGGTCTGGTTTTTCACTGGTTTGGTTTGGTCTGGCCATGGGCCCCAAACTCAAGGCTTTACAGAGACCCAATCAATGACAGTCCAAGCCAGTAACGTGACCCACAGAACGCATGCCTGCTTAAAGAACAAACCCATTCAACTCCTACTCTGCTTCCGCCAACTGTCCTGTTGACCACATTTAATTCACAATTAAACGTGCATCAGAACCTGGAGAGAGGACATGGCGCTTCCTAACCCACTAGATCGCAAGATCATTTTCTTAAAAGGGGTTTTTCCAGATGAGCTGGGATCACGATGCAGGACCTTTCGTTTGTACCTAAACCATATAGGAACCATTCATAGACGATGGAGTCTAAAGCTCGTGGTCTCCAGGGCTGCCATGACCCCTCATGAGATACAGAGGTGTTAAGTCTGAAACTCCATAGAGTAGAGGGTTAGCATGTACCTGCTTCCTCTTTTCAGCTTCATTCTACCCCTCTGTACAATGGGCACAACAATCCAAGATATCCCAGCCGGCCCTTCCACACTCTGGCGGTTTCTTGGTGCCCAGAGGCAGGAGCATGGTCAGGCGATGTTGCTGCCCTTACCTGTGCTGTGAGCTGGATAGGTTGAGAGAGAGTAAGCTGTGGGGTCCCAGGGGGTTGGCTGCCAGGCTGTGGTGGTGGCAGGTCGCCTCCCCCGGAGGAGGCCGGGGGCTGCGAAGTCGAGGAGGCGGAGGAGCAGGAGGTGGAGGAGGAGGCGGCGGCGGCGGCCGCGGCAGCATTAGCGGCAGCAGCGGCATTGGATTGCTGCACGGCGGCGGCCAGCAGCTGGGCCTGGGCTTGTTGCAGGAGGAGCTGCTGCTGAGTGGGCATCAGCGCCGTGAGCTGTGGGCAGCGGGGGCAAGCGGGGCAGGAAGAGGGGGCCGAGGGTGGGGAGGGGAGCAGAGAAAGCAGAGAAGGGTTAGTGCTCAAGCCAAGCAGGTCAGGGCGTAAGTAAGTCTTCCAGGATGGCAGAGGTGGCAAGAGGCATGAGCGAGATGGGAGGTGGCCGGTTTGTTTTGTGCCCCACCACACCTTTCCCCTTGTACTCACCCCAGCTAGCTGGCTGCCCGTCAGCATGAGTTGGGCCTGGGGCAGATGAGGCTGAGCCGGCTGGGGGGGCGGGGGTGCTGCTGGGGTTGAGTCACCACTGGGGTCTTCAGCCTTGATCTGGGGGGGAGAGAGGCAGGGTCCGGGACCCCAGAATGTTAAGTGGAGGCCAGAGAGAATGCTCACCTGTAAACCAAAGAGAGGGCATGTGTAGGGTGAGGGCAGTACAGCCAGGCACAGCAAAGGGGCAGACCACACAGAGGCCAGGCTGCTACCCTGACTGACAAGGGAGGGGGGTGGGAGTGGGGCTCAGTTGCCTCATCAGACAAACACACCACCTGTGCCTCCAAGGACAGGTCTCCCCTAGAGAGCACATTTTCCCTCCTCGGGGCCAATTTCCCCATCTGTAATACGGAAGGAGTCCTGGTGTGGTGCTGTTGGATAAGCACTGGACTGCTAACTGTAAGGTCAGCAGTTCAGACCCGCCAGCCATTCCTTGGAAACCCTATATAGGGTCGCTATGAGTAGAAACTGACTCGACAACACTTAACAACAAGCCCAATATGGAAGGGGTTCCACTGGGGACCCTGTCCCACACCCCTCATCTGCTCTAGTCAGACATGTTATTGTTCAGGTCTGACTCATAGCAACCCTGCATAGGACTTCCAAGGTTCAAAATGACCTTTTGGTCCAGTATTTTATTCCACGACAGCACGCCAGGACTGTGTTGGAAGAAAGGGCCTTCAAGTATGAAAAGTCTGAAAAGCAGTGTTTTAAAATATGGACCAGGAACTGAAACACCCAGACAGAAAGACAGAAAGCACAACAGACAACTGGGGCTGATGCAGGTTGGTGGGGGGATGCTGATGCTGACAGGGAAAATTACTCAGCTCCTACTCAGTGCCCCAGCCACTCACTTCAAAAGCAAAAGCAAAACACTGAGCAGGACAACTCAGGCACCTCTGCAGGCCAGATGTTGCCCCAGCTTGCAGCCTCCATGCCACAGACATTAGCTTCCATGTGTGAATACGAATGTGGGAGCATCCCATATTATATGAGAGGGCTTCAAAAAAGTGTGGGACAAACAGAATGAAAAGATGATGGAATGTTTCCACAAACGTTTTGAAGCCCCATCTGCATCAAGTCATCAAGGCCTTCTACCTCTCCTGGGTGAGAAGGCAGACAAGACTGTTGGCCAAGTGGGTGTTGGGGTGGGGTTAGAGAGGGCTAAAGGGGTGCCAGGATGGGAAGGGCGTGGCTTATGAATCTCAGACTCTTGGGCCCAGAGATATTAGGGACCATCTTTCATTGCAATATCTCAGCACCATTTCACAAAAACAAAAAAAGGAAACCGAGGTCCACAGAAGGAAATTTAACTTGCCCAAGGAGACATAGCGAGTTGTCAGGGGTTAGACAGACGGAGGCTTGGGAAAGACCAAATGACAGAGAATGGCATGTCTCAAATTGTGGGATACAGATGTGAGGACGTTGAAAGGGATACAGGGATGGATGGTAAAGTAATTTGAAGTCCCAAGAAGTCAGGACAGAGGCTAACCCTGACAGGATAGGAGGGACTTCCAGTCAGGTTTAGCTGTAGTGACAGGTGTATTCCATTGGTGACATTCCACAGAGCTATACGTTGAGAATGTGTGTGTGTGTGTGTGTGTGTGTATTTCAACGTGTGTCATATCTTCATAAAAGTTTTTAAACCTGAGTCTCGAACACCACAGTTTCTTTGTCAGTGCTCTTTCATCTTATCTGATTAGGTAAGGAAGAAAGTCTCTGCTTGGTGCTAGGGTGTATTTAACACCTGTCTAACCCTGGCCAATCTCCCTTTTTAACAATGGGAAACAGACTGCAGGCTTAGACCCTTCGGCGGGCAGGAGTCTCTTGGTACATTTTAATAACCATGGAATTTATTTCTACAGCAAGTGATGCTGGTTTTCCATTCATAAAATTTCCACTGAGAAAACAGTCAAACTGTTGAAAAAGTGAGCCAATGCATTAAGATTTATCTATATAGGATCAAATTGACAACAGCAATTGGAAAGATGAGATAGGAACCTTCGGGGGCAGTGCGTTCATGGTAATGAGGGAGAAACAATTCAGAAAAGGCGGGTGAGAATAAGTTGCACAATACAAAGAATGTAATCGTTGTCACTAAACAGTACATGTAGAAACTTGAATGGGTGTAACTGGTGTATATTTTTGCTGTGTAGAAGGGGGCTTCAAAAAGTGTGTGGAAAATTCCATTATCTTTTCATTTGATTTTTCCATGAACTTTTTGAAGCCCTCAACATATATTCTCAACGACAACAAAATAGAATTTAAAAAACAAAAAAATGTTTTAAAGTGAACCAATTCATGAGCTGAGAATTACTGAACCTCTATAGGACCAAGGTGTTTACTTTCAGTGAACTCTACTTTTGAATCTGGTTCCAAATGGAATCTGGTCCATATTAAAATGTTGTTGCTGTTTTAATTCAACCAATCAGAAAAAAATGGGATATAAATACATGTACAAGGTGGGAGTGGATCTGTCTGAGGTGATAGAGGAGCACCTGTATCACCTGAATCATTCTGGGAAGTCTGGACCAGAAGTGATAGAGAAGGATGAGGGGTAAAGAGACCAGGGGACCAGATGAGGGATTCCTCCCTCTCTGCCTCAGACTGTCCTTGGGAACCAGTTCCAATCTGGGAAAGAGCAGGAGAAACCTTCAGTCTCTAATTTCTCAAGGGAAGACGGAAACAGGAGACAAAGCAAAGATCAGATTCAACTGAGGAGGAAGCTGTGGTGTATAGGGGTGCAGGAGTATGGACACACCCTCTAGGAAACCAAGGTGGAAACCAGGCCTCAGGATGGTGGACTCTGAAATTTGGAGTCCTGCCCAGGGCTCCTTTTCCTGTGCTCAGTACAGAAACACCCCATCTTCCCACAGCAGCATCCAAGCACCCCAGAGATGAAAGGGACCTCAGAGGCCATCTAGTCTCCCCATATTAGAGAAGAAGAAACTGAGGAGTCCAGAGAGGGGAAGTGATTGTCCCATAATCACAGAGCAAGTTTGAGGCAAGGCATGGAGCAGGTGCCCAGCCTCCCACCTATGCCTCTGCTACGTTTGAACCCTCAGGCCTCCTCTGTCCCATACCTGGTGCTACCTCCACCCCTCTGGACTTGTCTATCATCTGCACCAGCTGGGCTGCAGGGTGGCCTGCCAAAAACCCTGGCTCAAGCAGCAGCGAAGGAGCCCAGCAGTGTCCAGAAGCCTGGCCCTTCCTAATTGGAGGTCACACTGTTTGGCCGCTCCTGACTCCCATCCCCCCATCCTTTCTCCTGCACCCCCATCCTACAGGCCCCTCACTGAATCTTGGGGGGTCCTGCCCCTCCCCCACCTATGACTGGCCCCTGAATGTGTGTTGGGGATAGAGGCACAGGCCCTGGTTCTGTCAGGGAAGTCGGGATGGGGGCAGGGCCCTCGGCTTCCTGTTGTTCATTGCCCTGGGGCCCTGGGGGGGATTTCCCTGGTCACCCCCACCCCCCAGGGAAGGGGAAGGAGCCTGGGTGAGTCACAGGCCTGGGGCGGGAGCTTGAGGGTGAAATAGGTGGGAGGAACTTTGCTACCAAGGTACCCGAGCTTGCCAAGCCCTCTCAGGCCCTGGGCTTGGGCCTCCTGAAGACCTGCTCCCAGACTTCGCCCATGCCAAGGATCCCAACACACACCTTCTCTGGATGTTCCTACAAGTGCTTACCTTGGTGCTGGGGCCGGTTGGGGACACGGAGAATAAGGAGGTCTTATTCTGGGGGTTCTAGAAGAGAAAGGTGAGGTGGGAGAGATGGGAACAGTGAGAGGAAGCAGCTCTGGAACCCACCTTGCCTCTCCTGGCCAAGTTCTGCCAGAGCCCCCAGCAGCCCCCTTCTCCCACCCCTCCCTGCTCATTCACCCCTCCTGACCTGATGGTTAGTGTCTGGTCCATTTCTTTCAGTGTCTGCAATGAGCCAGAAAGGACAAAGTTAGCACCGGTCCCTCCAGGCTCCTGGACCACACCTGTCCCCTCCCTGCCACCCTTCTCGCCCTGATCCACAATGACCCGCCCTGCTCCCTTCTTCGCCCTACCTGCATGCTCTGATGGGGAGTCCAAACCTTGCTTCTCGGCCTCCAGAGGCTTAGACATTCTTATTTCTGGGGACAGAGGAGAGGTGGAAAGGGAGTAAGAAAAGGAAAGCCAGGCGGTCCTCAGGAAACCTCCTCTAACTTTCCCCAAGTCCTCCCCGACCCACTGCTACATCGAAAGAGCCTCCTACTGAGACACATCTCCTTGTCCAGTAGGACCTGAGAGGGGCTTTCAGGCCTCAGGTGATCTTATCCCTGTCACCCTATCATGCCAGAGTCACCCACGGTGAGGCCCTGGGGTGGGTTGGGGTGGGGTGGAAGGTAGAAGGTGGTCACAAGAAGGGAGGTGGCTGGTGAGGTTCTGAAGAAGCAAGTATGACCTTAACCCTCCTCCACAGCCAGGGAACCTTGGCTGTCCTGCCCCACCAGGTTTCGGGTGAGACATGTTTTCCACTCTGTGGGGGGCCTGGGTGTGATGGTTCTGTAGCTCCCCAATGAAGCAGCCATCAGATCCCTTGAGTGTGATTCAGCCGCCCTCGGACCCCATAGCTCCTGCCCACCTCTTTCCCGTCCACACCTCACTCCCACCTAGCCTTCTGGTGTTTAGCAGCCCCACCCTGACTCCTCTCTCATCCCAACTCCATCCACTCTGCCCTTGACCTTGACTTTCTAAATCCCACACTTGACCTGGAGCTTCAGCCTTGAATCCCACTGCACCCCAATAAATACAATCTAACCTAAATATCTCACCCCTATAAATACAATCCCATTCTACATCTCCTGGACCCAGAACATAAATGAGGACCACCAAAGGGAGATGCCAAGCAGAAAGCTGAGCACCAAAGGACTCAAACCAATCAAAATAGATCTTGTTCTCTAAGAGCTCCCATAAAAGGGGTGTGCCTACCAGTGGCGAGCATAGCATGAAACATGAAATACGATTCAGATCTACTATTACTCCCATTTACATAGAAGGGAACTGAGGCTCCAAGAGGGGGTGTCTCCTCCACAAGAGCATAGCAACTCAGCAGAGGTGCCCTGATTGGACCCCAAGTCTTTGTGACGTCAGGACTCCTGTTTCTTTCTAATCAGGACCATAGTGGGCTCCAATCCTAACTTCCTATCTCATCTTCAACATCACCCAACCCAAACTCATCTTGACACCAACTTGAGCCCAACCCCTCCTACCCCTGCACCCCAACAGAAATCCAGACTTCAACCCAACCCATTCGCAATCTCCTTAAAAAACGAAACCAAACCAGTTTCTGTCAAGTTGATTCCCAGCTCATGGCACCCTTACGTGTTGGAGAGTAGAACTGTGATCCATAGGGGTTTAAGGCTGTGACCTTTCAGAAGCAGGCTGCCAGACCTTTCTTCTGAAGCACTTCTGAGTAGGTTTGAACCACCAATCTTTTGGTTAGTAGTCAAATGCTTAATCATTTCCACCACCCAGGATCTTCAGTCAATTGCCTTACCATGGAGTCCCAACTCACATCCAGATGGTTCAAGTCCTTCATCTAACCTTGACTCCCAACTCTGCCTCAAACTTTACTCATGACCCTGACTCTGACCTTAACTGCCCCCCAGAACTCACTCTAAAAGTTCTGCCTAAATGATGACCCAGCCCTATCAAAGGAGCTGTGCAATTCCAGTATGCTATGAAATCAAAATATTTTTAAATGACCGGTAAGGAATGACAAGTCCTCAACAGCAGCAGAAGAAAAAGTCTAAGAGGGACCAGTCCCTGGGGGAAAAGGCAACATTCTTGGTAAAGCAAAGGTTCAGAGAAAACGAGAACTTAGTGAGTTGGAATGACACCTCAGCTAATATCGAGCAGTGTTCTGCTCCCGGAAAGATTTACAGTCTCAGAAGCCCTGTACAGGGTCGCTATGAGTTGGAACCGACTCCACGGCACATAGCCACCGTTGTGAGCATGGCTCCGGACCGGGCAGTGTTTCCTTCTATTGTACGTAGAGTTGCTATGAGTTGGAACCAACTAGACGGCACTTACCAACAACAGGAATTTTACAATGAGAATACTTGACATGAAGCCCCATCCAGGTTTTAAATTCCTCACTAAAAAAGCCAGGTCTTACAATTTGGGTGAGAGTATATTGATATAAGCATTCGTCTGCTCTCATTCATGACCCAGCGCTCCCAAAAGAAACCAGCATTGCCCACCAAAGGTATGGACACAAATATTCATGGTGGGTTTTCATAACGGCTCAGAACTGGAAGCCACCCAGTGTCCACCAAGAGGTGAATGAGTACACATGTGGTCCATCCATGCAATGAAATTTCCCATCCTGAGGAAGGACAAACTCCCACTTCACACAAAAGACTTAATATCCTAGAGATGCTACAGAGAGGAGGTGAACATGCAGTATGACTCCAATGACTGACTTGAGAGTTGAACCCCAGAGGATAATGGTCAGATGAGTGAGTGCCTTTGGGGGTGCAATGGGAAAGAGTAAGAGGAAGCCTGTGGTGGTGTGGGGCTAGGGATGTTCTCTATCTTTATCTGCTTGGTGTTTACAAGGGCCTACGACAAGGAGCTCTGGTAGCGTAGTGGTTACGAATCGGGCTGCGAACCGGAAGGTCAGCAGTTCGAAACTACCAGCTGCTCCGCGGGAGAAAGATGAGGCGATCTGCTCCCGTAAAGATTTACAGCCTCGGAAACCCTATTCAGGGTCGCTATGGGTCGGAACCGACTCGACAGCACTTAACAACAACAACAACAACAACGAGGGGGCTCCAAAAGTTCTTGGGAAAATGGGATGAAAAGACCATAGAATTTGTCCATGGACTTTTTGAAGCCCCTTGTTTGCAAAAAAAATTACCAGGATGTAGGCTTAAAATTTGAACTATTTGCTTATCTAGAGGACACTTACACAGAAAAGAAAATGAATAAATGGAAGTGTTTAAGTAATGAAAATTAGTGTACGGTCCTATTAAATTCATGGCTGGTGATGGGTGTGGGGTGGGGCGCAGGTGCTCTGGGAACACAGACTTCATTCCAGAGCCTTATAGATGGGACACTGGGAAGTTAGCAGCCATGAGAGAGATGGGAGCCTGGCATGAGGTTCTCACACCTGATTCTGGGGCCTTGGAGGTAGAAATTCTGCCCAGTAGCAAAGGGCAGTCTGATTCCAGCTAAATTAACACAAGAGGTGCCCTGGTGGTACTGTGGTTGAGTGTCAGCCGCTAACTGGGAGGTGGAGGGTTTGAACCCACTAGTCACTCCATAAAGATTTACAGTTTTGGAAACCCTATGGGGCAGTTCAACTTCGTCCCATAGGGTCGCTGTGAGTTAGAATTGACTGGATGGTAACAGGTTATTTGATTTTCCTAAATCATACACCCCTCCTCACCACCCAGTTCAGTTCTCCCTGGTGCTCCTCCAAGGTATTACCCATGATGCTCAAGGGCGATCCTTCCTACTCTCTGTGCTCTCAGCCCTCTGTAGCTCCTGATCTTTCCAAGAAAAGTCCAAGCTCCTCCCCAGATCTCCACTGCCCATCTCTTGCCCCTTCCTGGCATGCACCAGGATGTTTCCTCTGTGCATGACGAAGGTTCTAGCTGGAGAATGCCTCTCCTGCCCGAAGACTATGGCAGCCCCCGATCTTAGTTCCTTGGGCATCCTTGGCCACCCAGGGTCCCTGCCCTCACACTATCCTGGGGCTATGGTCCTCTGTGTCCAAGTCCACACCAGACCAAGAAGGCAGGCCTGCTCTGCCTCATTGCTGGGTCTGTGGTGTCACCCTGATCAGAAGAACAGGAGGTAAATGGCCGAACACCCACCCCTGGCAGCTCTCTCTGTCTTTTACTTGCCCCTGGCTCTGTCCACCTCTCTCTGCAATTTAACAAACGTTTTCCAAGGCTTTGGCATAGCCTGGTCCCTCTGTTTGGAATGGTTTCCTCACTCTGTCTACTCGGAGGTCTCCTACTCGTCTTTCAGGGCCCAGCACAGGCTCTGTTCTCTAAGACATCCCAAGGGCATGTCTGGTTCATCCCCACCCTCCCCAGCACAGGATGTGTACGTCAAAAGGACAAGGGTGACCTCCAGTCCCTGGTCTCCCTCCTTCAGGTCTTTGCCTTTGTTTTTCTTGCTTGGGAAGACCCTCTGCTCCTCTGCCCTTCTCTGAAGCTGGACTCACACACTACCTCCTCTGTGAAGCCCTCCCTGACTCCCCCAGGTGGTCAGTATTTCTCTCCTCTGGGCTCCCCCTGCCCCCGCACCATCCTCTATCACTCCTTGACCACCCTGGGAAGTCACCCCAGATGGGGGCTTCACAGAGGAGATTTCGAACCCACACAAGTGAGTCATTATTGCGCAGACCTCAGACTGTCTTTAGAAAGGAAGAAGGCATGAAGGACCTGCATCGTAACACTTCAACCTTCAGCCCCCACCACCCCTTCCAAACTGAAACCTTTAACTTAAGGTCCTTCTGGGGAAATAGGAAAGAGCTCTGGTGGAACAATGGGTTAAACAGTAGACTATTAACTATAAGGTCAGTGATTCAAACCCACCAGTTGCTCCATGCAAGGAAAATGAAGCCACCTGATCCCTTAAAAATGGACAGCCTTCGAAACCCTAGGGAATGGTTCTGCTCTCTTATGGCATCACCATGAGTTGGAATTGCCTCCACGGCAGCAGTGGTAGGTTGGGCAGTGTTTGGTCAGGGACATAGTTGTTCAAGAAGCAATAGTGGTTCCCGAATTCTCCCTCAATTCTTCCCACCATTCAAGGCCACTATGCTCTCTGCCCTGCTCAGCTATTTGCCCTCACCTCCTCCCCTATCAAAAGGGTCTCATGACATCATGCCCACCAAACCTTCACCAGGGATGAAAAGCCATGTGAGGCCTTAACAGGCAGCCATGGAATTGGAGAGTCATTCAAGAAACCTGCTACAGCCCACTCCGCTGACAGCATCGGTCTCAGTTTCAGCCTCCCGGGAAATGTTGATGCCCAGTCCCCCCCACAAGGAGCCCTGATGGCACAGGGGGCTACTAACTAAAAAGTCGAGCTGTTCAAACCCACCAGTCACCCTACAGGCGGAAGATGAAGTAAGCAGTCTACTTCCGTAAAGACTGTAGCCTCAGAAACCCCAAAGGGTAGTTCTGTTTGGTCCTATGGGGTCACTAAGAGTCAGAATGGACTCGTCAGCAGTGGGACTGAATGAGTTGGCTTCACTGGGCCCCCAGGGGGGAGGGCACCAGATTATTGAAAGCTCCCTGGGGCATTCTGATGTGCCCTAGCCCTCTGCTACCTTCAGAGGACACACCACATGCACAGAAAGTTAGTTGTCAGTTATGGTTGGGGGGTCAATTCCCGCCCCCACCACAGACAGTAGGTGCCACTGAAGAGGAACTGACAGGGAAAAGCCGAGGCAACTCAGCAGGAGCACTTGAACCTCACCACCCTAGGGTCAGGCCCACTGGGATTGCCCAGCCCTGAGCTCCCACCCACTGGCCCGCCTGCCCCTGGTCTGGGACTCAAGTCAGAGGCCCTCCCTGCCCTCCCCGCCCCTCCCTCCGGAGACTTTCACTTCTCCTCTGCATTTCCCCCAGCCAGTTTTAGCAGACTCTTGGCCAGCTTCTCGTTAGCACTTACCGAAAATGGGACTAAATATAGAGGACCCAAGGGCTGCCCCTCACCCCGCCTGGCCTCACTTGCCCTGTCCCCTGGGTCCCCTGCCCCCGCAGCCCATCTCAATTAAGCCCACGACCAGGGAGTCCCTGTTGGCAGGGTCTAGGCTGCCGGGAACCTCAGTGGGCCAGCTGGCCCAACCCCCAGCCTCCCCAGGAGAAACAAGCACCCCTTAACCTCTTCCTACACCTGCCAACCCTGCAGCTGGCCCAGGGTGGTGCTGAGGGAGTGAGCTCTCTGAGGGAGGGATGGAGATTCAGGCAACAAAAACACAAGAGAGATGGCTCCACAGCTGCGCCAACACCAGGCAACAGTCAGGCAGGGCCCAGGATGCGGAGGGACATCAGGCAAACACACACGAGAAATAGGTATGCACAGGTCACAGACACGAGTGTGCACGGGTCTGCAAGAGAGACAAGTAACGTGATATGATGACATAGCAGATGGACACAGTCAGCCTCCCTCATGCTCAGTCACATACATAGCGAGGCACACATTTACTTACACACCCATCGTCACACCCGGCCAGTCAGACACACACAGATACAGACGCACTCCGAGTCACATACACCCTGACAGACAAGCATCATTTCATCCTGGAAAAGGGCCAGAGCAGATTCCTGAACCCATTCCTAGACCATATAACCACTCTATTCACACCAGCCAGTGAGAACCCAGGCCAGACCTCCCAGGCCAGTGCTGTTGGGTAAACAAAGCTCTAACCTAATGCCCAGCACCTATGAGGTCCCCATTCAGTCCCAGATCAGAACTGAGTCAGCGCTGGAGCTTGTCACCATGCGTGTGTGGATATGCGAGTATCCATGGCTGCACTGCACAGACACACACACAAAATCGTATCAATAAACCAGCATACGCCATGTTGACCTCCTCCTTTGCCTTGATCACACCACACCCACTCACCCTTCAGATTTCAGCTTTTAGACATCCCCTCCTCCAGGAAGCCCTCACATGCAAAAACAGACATATAGTTGGGCTCCTGCAACCTCCTGGACTTCCACCATTCCAGTCCTGACCCCTGTGAACTGTCACTGTTTGGTGACAAGTCTGTCTCCAGGAGGACAAGACTAGAGCAACTGCCTTCCCATTGATGCGCACAAGATGACAAACACACACCATGCCAGGACTCCCACCCGGGGACACCCAACAATGAGACACGTCCCACAGTCATGTCCACACAGCCACAAATGAAACAACGACCGAAATAACGACTGTGCTTCAACCGCTGTGCTAAGCATTTTACACCAATGATCTCATTTAAACCTCCCACCAACACTACCCAGAGAGCGATCATTATCATTATGCAAAGCCCTCATACTAACTGAGGTGACAAGTAAGAATTTCTCCTTGCACTCATTGTTCATGAAGTCCAACTGAAATTTCATGGGGAAGGCATTTCATAAGCACACAAAGGTATAGTCAAACTTCTCACCATGATAAGTGTTCTGGAGACAAGAGAAGGCAGGGTAAGGGGCTGGAGGATGAGGGGATTGGTGCTTGGTGGAGGTATAGATGAGGAGACCAAGAAAGGCAGTGAATCAAGAGATCAATGCCCAATGCTATCCTTAAAATGCTGCACAAAGCAGCCCCCACACTCACTCACACACAGACTCATGACAGCCACAGACACACACTCCAAAGAGAAGGCCAGCCCCTTTGCAGTTCTCACTCATGTCCCCCAACTCATGGATCCTCCATGTAAAGACCAGACACCCACACACACACACCTGGCTCCATCCCCTCCCCATTCCTCAGGAGAGCAGCGATGGGAAGGGGGTTGAAAGCTGGAGAAGAGGGTACCTGATGTGAAGGGATTGAGTGAGGAGGAGCTGGGGGCATAGGAAGAGGAGAGTAATTCTAAAGTGCAGAGTGAAAGGGTAAAGGAGACAGCGAAGAGGAAGGACAGGGAGAGCCAGAGGTGGCGTGAGGAACGAACCCATCTATTCTGCCCGTCCTTTCCAGCAGAGGTGAGGACGCAGGCTCCTTACCTGGAGCCCCCATGCTGGAGTGAACCATGCTGCGTGCCCCACCGGGGCTGGGGGAACAACTGTGTCATCTCCCCGCCCTAGAGGGGCCGAGCCCTCTCTGCCGGAAGTCACTCGGGGAGGAAACCACAGGGCCGATCCGCCCCCTTCGGAAGGGAAAATACCCAGGCCCTGCGCCTACCCTAACAGCCGACCCCATTCCTGTGGAGGGAATCGTGGAGCAAAGGGGAAGCCGACTGGAAGGGTTGCCCCCACCCACAACACCCATCCTTCTGCCGCCCTCGTGGGTGCGAACACGTCTGGAGAGGGCAGGCAGGTGGGTCAGGGAGAGAATGGAGGTCCACGCAGTAACGGCGATAAAACGTTCACGGACAGCCCTGGGCAGAGAATGTGATGGTCACAGGCGTCCCTTCTCTGGTTCCTCACGACAGCGCCGCGAGGTGGGTACTGCTATTTCCCCCCATTTCATAGACGAAAAGACTAAGGACCAGAGAAGTCAGGTGACTTTCTCAAGGGCCCACAGACAAACAGTGTCTAGGCCAAGGAGCACTGCGGAAACAGGCGTTCGTGGCGGGTGACCCTCGCGGGAGGTAGGACCCAGCCGCACACCTGCCCGCAGGTGAGACGTCTGGGAACTACACTGCGGCGAAGAGGTGTCCGTGGGTACTGACAGTGAGGGTGGGTCGGGACTTTGGCTGGGGACGGCGACAAGCCAGACGGGTGGATGCGGAGCCCAACGGGGCTCCGGTGAAGCCGAGCACCAAATTCCCTGCCCGCGGGTCAGCCCTACGCGCTGCGGCGCTCCCGGGCCAACGATTCCCTCTGCGACCGCCAGAGGGCGGGAGCGCCCAGCCAATGGGCCGGAGGGCGGGGCCGGCTGCGGAGGAGGTACCCCTCCCTCCGCTCCGTTCCCCTCCCCGCCCCCGCGCGCACACCTGCGAGGGTCACACAAAGGCGCTGGACTCCCGGCGCACGACGGCGCAGACAAAGGCGCGGCTGAGCCGCGGTCCTCGTTCTTCTCCGGGCCACCGTGTCCAAGACAGCCCGGGCCCGCCTGGCGCTTCCAAATAGCCAACAGGACACGCTGAGCCCCATGCTGAGAGCCCCCAGACCAAACGCTCGCGCGCGCGCGCGCGGACGCGCGCACACACGAACGCCTGGACTCACACGCAGACATACACACGCGGCCAAATATTTCTACAGATTGACCCAGCACTTCACACACACACGTGTGTGCACATATGGACACCTGTGATCACATGTCCAATGCACTGGCCCCGACCTCAACCCTCTATCTACATATGTTGAGTCCTACTCGCTCGGGCATACAGACACCCCCTACATCCTCCTCACGTGGAGCCGTGGACACAGGGCACACCTAACACACGTGTGCCCAGGCACGCCTCCATGGCCATCTGTGCCCACACTCATGCTCAGAGGCTGACCTCTATGGGTGCCCTCCCTTGTTACCCACAAGGATCTCGTGCACCCAGGCAGCCCAGCAGGCAGGTCCACAGAGGGGACGCCAGGCCGGACCTAGCTACACACCAAGGGTTGTGCCTAGGCCCGCACGGACCTTCCACATTCCACATTGCAAAGGCCTTTCCACAGAGAAATAACAGAGATCACACAGCATCCGGGTTCCACTCAGTCCTCCTGCCTCTGGGACCATCCTTTTCTCCATCTCTGCCTCCTTCTCCACAGCAACTGTAGAGTTTCTATACCTGATGTTCTTCCAGACAACAGTCTGGTGGGCAGAGGGGGCAAATGGAACTATCTTGAAACTGCATTTGCCCAGTAAGCTGTTTTGATTTAGGATTATTTGGTTTTGGTTTTGTTTTTTT